ATGCTGGGCCCCGGGAGAATTGCTTCCACCTTCAGTCAGTGCGTGTGGGAGGCCTCCATCCGGGTCCCCGGCTGCGGGTCTGGGGGCCTTGGCTCCCTGTTGTTTGCCAGTTGCCATGTCCATATGGCTCTGGGAAGAGCTGGCTTGCGGGTTCCTCAAGGGGTCCACAGAACCCCCCACAAAGGGAGTTTCTCATGTGCTCTGTGACCCACAGTGTGAGTCAGACCACCCCAAACGAATCTTGCAAATGTGGTGACACTTTGTTGTTGCAAATGCAGAAATAAGCCAAAGATAACGTTACACTTGGATTCCCTTAACACAGAATTAGAATCACACTGGACATTCTTTCTTGTCACCTTTTTCTTGCGTCAGCCTATGTCGTGTTTTCCGTTCACCATTAAACATCACTCTGTGACAGGGGTTGGCAAATCTGTTTGTAAAGGGCCAGATAGTAAATGCTTTAGGCTTTGAGGGCATATAATCTCCCTGGTCTCTGCCATTGTAGCTCAAAAGCAGCCTTAGAAAATATGTAAATGAAGGAGCATGGCTGTGTGCCCGTAAAACTTTATTGACACGAACAGGTAGGGGGCCAGCTTTGGTCACTGGCCACAGTTTGCTGGCCCCTTTCCATACCTGTGTAATTCCCACCATGTGGCCATCAGCTAAGTCATTTAGCCAGGCCTCTGTCAAGTCTTGAAGTGGTTTCCAACTTGGGCTTGTTTTGGGCACAGCTGCCGTAGGCACCCTTGAATGTGAATCTTTGGATCCTTGGTTATTTCCTTGGGGAAAATCTCCCGAAATGGGGATGCTGAAGACTTTGGATGTTGATAATGAGCGCAGGTAGCCTTATCTTTATTTCTGCTAACTTCCCAGAGCACTGTGTGGGCTCACACGCTTGTGCAGGGAACCCTGGTGACCGTTGGTGCCCCTTTTCTTCTCATAGTCAGGGACAGCAGCTCAGCGAGTGTGGCCTTGGCCTGGCCCACACCCTTAGAGTCGGGCCAGCGGGACTCATGCTGGCTGTAGGGTCCTTTGTCTTTTCTACAGCTTGACCTTTTTTCCCCACAGGCCGCGTGGCCCGGGCTGGCCGAAGCGGCACAGCCTACTCCTTGGTGGCCCCAGACGAGGTCCCCTATCTGCTGGACCTGCACCTGTTTCTCGGCCGCGCCCTCACTCCTGCCCGCCCCCGTGAGGGGTCCTCAGGTGAGTGGAGGCCGGGGCACTGGAGCAGGAGTCCCTGTGGGTCCGCTGCGGAGCTCATGGTGCAGGTGGGGGAGAAGCTGTCCTGGCTTTGGGAGGAGGCGGGGCTGGATTTGACCCCAGGGTAAGAGCCCTATATTTTAAACTCAGAGTTTCACATACAAATCCAGATTCCTCATGTCTGTTGGAAAACGGCTGGGTCTGACTGCCTAGTCTACCTTTTCCTGAGGTTGCTGCACAGGCAGTGTGGGCCATGTGCCCGGGATAGATGGGCCCCCAGGTTCACGGCAGCCCCTGCCTCCCCTGCTCCTCTCGTCTGGCCCCTGCGGGCATCTGTTTGAGACCCTGCCCTTGACTAAGTTTCCGGGGCAGCCGAGGCAAGCAGAGAGAGACTGAGGTTCATTCAGGCCGAGCTCCCAGAACTTTCCCTTATTCTCTGTGGGGTGGGATTGCACGGGGTGGGCAGCGGCGATCATGGTCGCCTTCTCCTGTGGTCCTTCTGTGTGTCGAGCCCTTAGTGCACATTGTCTCCCGTGTCCATCTGAGAACATAGGGAGGGTTGCTTCACAGGTGAGGCCAAGCCACTCATCCCACGTTGCTTATTACTCAGCAGGGAGGTGGGAGCGCAGATTCAGCAGGCCAGGTGTAAATGGAGCCCACACTCGGGGCAACCCTGCACGCGTTCACTGAGCACCCCACTGTGTGCTGCATCCGTGCTTCAGAGCATTGGGAGCACCTGCAGCCCAGCCGCCGGGCCCATTGTCCAAATGCAGATTCTGGAGCCCTCGGCAGACCTCCCGGGTTGAGGCCAAGCAGTGGGGCGGGAGGGGCAGAGAGAGGGAAGGAGCCCCCACAGCAGTGTCCCAGCAGAAGCCAGCCATGGAGTAGTTACCTTTTAGGGGGAGGCCATCCTGCATTTGCCCCAGCGCTAGCCAGGTGGGCAGCATGGCCCAGGACCGGCTTGCTGCAGAGGAGGTGGGCTCTTGACCCAGTGCGGGGGCTGCATCCTGACACTGCCCTGCAAGCGCACTGCTGGGCAAGACTGGACCTCTGCTGTGCCTCAGTCTCCTCTTCTGTAACGTGCGGTTGTTGTGGGCACCCGGTGGTCTCGTGGGAGAGTCGGCAGAAAGCACGAGCGAGCGAGTGGCTTAGGCTCCGCAGGTCATAGGCCCCACGGCAGCTCCTCAACCCCGCCCTTCTGGTGCAAAGTTAGCTAAAGACAGTAGGAACGTGGATAGAAAACGATCTTCAGGAAAACAGGCAGTGGCTCTCGGGTTGTAATTGCGGGCGCCCAGTCGAGCTCGGTCAAGTGGCTGGCCGGAGCAGCTGCTCCATAACGGGATTATTTCGTGATTCGGGGGCCTGGGAGGCGAGGGCCGGCTGCGGGCCTCCGACGGGCTCCGTGTGTGTTGGCAGGCGCGGTCAGTGTGGACGGCGTGCTGGGCCGGGTGCCGCAGAGCGTGGTGGACGACGAGGAGGGTGGCCTGCAGAGCACCCTGGTGGCGTCACTGGAGCTACGGGGCCTGGGCCGGGTGGCCGACAACGCTCAGCGACAGTACGTGCGCTCCCGGCCTGCGCCCTCGCCCGAGTCCATCAAGAGGGCCAAGGAGCTGGACCTCGCAGGGCTGGGCCTGCACCCCCTCTTCAGTGAGTCCCTGTGGGGGGCGGGGGTTGGGACAGTGGGCCCCCGCGGAGCCTCCCCGGCCTCAAGCCTCCTCCCCACCCCCACCAGGCTCGCGCTTCGAGGAGAAGGAGCTGCAGAGGCTGAAGCTGGTAGACAGCATCAAGAACTACTGCTCACGGGCGGTGAGTAAGGGGGTGGGAGAGCCCGCGGGTGCCCAGGGGTCACGGTGGCTGCCGTGGAGCCGGGACTCTGGCTGAGCTCCTGACCCCAAGCAGGACCCCAGCGGGGCTTTTCTTCTGAGCTTGCAGCTCTGCCTCATCAGCATCTCGAGTGATGCCCCTTGTTCTGGAACCGTCCCTGCTGCCCTGCAGCAGATACCCCATGTGGTAGCCATTTCCTGCCGCTTCCAGAGGGGTAGACTGAGGCTCACAGAGGGGAGTGACGTGTGCCAGGCCTGTCAGCGGCCTGGAGCTGGCTTTCTGCACCTTTCATCCCCTCTTGACTCCCACTGGGCACCCCATCTGGGGCCTGTGCTAGGCACGCACAGAAGCACCAAAAGACCTCCCCGGGAGTGGGCGAGCCTGCCAGGCAGCCAGTATCAGGGAAGAGGAGCTGGGGACGGTCATGGTAGAGAACACTGGTTTCAGAGCCAGGTAAACCAGGATCAAAATGCCACTCTCACTTGTCTCAGCTGGGTGACCTCAGGTTGGCTGCTTGCCCTCTCTGGGCCTCCTTTCTAATGGTGAAATGCAGGTAACCAGAGTACCCACCTCATAGAGGTGAAAGGACTTGGGGAGGAATGCCATAGGGAGCCCACCAGGCTGGTGAGGGCAGCGCTGGGAAGGAGGAGGCCAGTGGGTGAAGGACTCGTGTGTTCCCTCCACAGACCATCTTTGAGATCAACGCCTCCAGCCGGGACCTGAGCAGCCAGGTGATGCGCGCCAAGCGGCAAAAGCACCGCAAGGCCATCGCCAGCTTCCGGCAGGGGCGGCAGGGGCGGCAGGAGGACACAGCTGGCCCCGCCCCAGGCTGCCCGGCACCCCAGGAAGAGAAGCCCGAGGAGGAGGAGGCAGCGGGAGAGAGTGTGGAGGTACGGGCCCTGCTCTGGCCACCCTAGAGGCTGGGCCTGGGGGTAGAGCCGGGCGGGGGCGGCTACCCTCAGGGCTTTGAGTGGTCACTGCGGGGGATGCCGGGACTCCGTGTCCATCTCCCGTCGGGCTCATGGTATGGCTCCGCTGTCCCTCGCCCAGAAGCCCGGTGCCAGATGTGTTTCAGGCTCCAGAATCTTTAGGGTGGGCACACTGTGCATGATATGACACCCCATTGAGTCTGGGGTGTCACCGCCCTCAGATGCGTCAGGGGGTCCCCCCACAAGGTGTGCCATGCCGGTCCCCACACCGAGGGGACAGGCCCAACCTAGGCAGCCTCACGTCGGCTCAGCTCGGCTTCTGCCGCCAAGCGAATTTGAGGGAAGCTCATTTCCAGAACCTTGTGGGCTAGGGCGCTGCGGCCAAGCGACTACGGCACAGGGCCGGGGCCCACGGGGCAGATTTGGGGCGGTGCTGGAGGGTCCCTGGTGGCGGCTGAGTTGTTGTCCTCCTCACCATGACAGTCTCAGCCTGAGGTCTGGGGCAGGTGGACAGGGGCCGAGCAGGGACTCTTGCCAGCAGAGAGGGCATGACACAGGCATGTGGGCCTCAGACACGGGGCCTTTGTGCCGGAAGGTAGGCTGGGGGACACAGGCACCCTGTTCGCCCGGCGGGCAGGGCCCTGAGCCCGCGCATCTACCAGGATATTTCTCTCGTATTTCATTTGCACCGAGGGCTCAGTAGCCAAAAGTACAGGTGGAAACTCCTGGACTAGTCCATACTGTATAGAGCAAGGCCAGGCCCAGAGAGGGGCAGGGCCTTGCCTTGGTCACACAGCCTGAGGCACCAGCCTGGGGCTGGCAAGTGGGTCTCGCCCCGGGTGGCCCCCAGCCCCCTACTCCTGCACCCGGCCTGCTCTGCTGGGGACGAGGTAGTCCTGCAGTGCAGATGAGGAAACAGAGGGTGCGGGTGGAAGCACCAGACTTCTAAAGTCCCAGAAGCCGCTGGCCCTTAACTCTAGCTGGACTGGCAAGTGGAGAGGCCAGTGGCTTCCCTGGGGGGTGTGACGCCGGGCCTCTGTCTGCCAGGATGTCTTCACGGAGGTCATGGGCCGGAAGCGGCCGCAGCCGGGACCTGACCGGGGAGCCAAGAGGCGGAGGGAGGAGGCCCGGCATCGGGACCGGGAATTCTACGTCCCCTACCGGCCCAAGGACTTCGACAGTGAGAGGGGGTGAGTGGCCGGCTGGTCCTGGGGTGGGGACGGTGGGGCCTGATGGGCCCCCCACTGACCCTGTGGCATGTCCCGGCCCTTCGTCTGCAGCTTGAGCATCGGTGGGGACGGGGGGGCATTCGAGCAGCAGGTGGCTGGCGCTGTCCTGGACCTGATGGGGGATGAAGCCCAGAACCTGACCAGGGGCCGGCAGCAGCTCAAGTGGTGAGTGAGCGAGCGAGTGAGCATGCACCCCCCATGCACCCCTGCCTGCCCTGTGGTCCCACACAGCAGACAGGTGGCCCCTGTCTGTCCTGACTCCCATTTGTTCCCCTAGAGCAGGAGATATCAGTACCCCCATTAGACTGTGTGCAGCATGGATTGTGAGCCCTCCTGTGTTGTCCCACACGATCACACACAGCAAGGACAGTGACCCCACAACCACATCCTGTCCCCTTGATTTGATCGTACACAACAGGGATCTTGATCCATCTGTCCTTCCTGCTAGCTCGTCTTTCTCGACAGAGCTCATGACCCATCTCTCCCATCTGGACTCTGGTTCCAGAGAAATGGTGTGACTCAACCCAGGGTCACAGAGCCAGGAGGTGGCAGAGTAGGTTTGGGAACCCCCGTTGGGCCCCTAACCCTGATCCAGGCCCCCCAATTCCCAATGACCCCCACACCACCTTTTGAGACCTGGGCTGCCAGGAAGAGGTGAGGCGGGCAGGGAACGGGCCTTTATTGAGCACTTGCTGTATGCCAGACATGGGCTGGCTGCGTCCCTTGTGGTGGGGAGGAAACAGGCGCCCCAGGCCACCTCCTTCCACATCAGCTCTCCCAACTCCGTCTCCCGCAGGGACCGGAAGAAGAAGCGGTTTGTGGGACAGTCGGGACAGGAGGACAAGAAAAAGATCAAGACCGAGAGTGGCCGCTACATCAGCAGCTCCTACAAACGGGACCTGTATCCAGAGGGGCGGGGCCAGGGGCGGGGCCAAGTATCCCCTAGAGGCGGGCGTGGGGTCCGGAGGGGCCCAGCAGCCTCTGTCCCTGCATACTCTGGATGTGGGGGCGCGGCCGAGCACCTTCTGATGCCTCACCCCCTAGAGGTGGTACCTGTATCCGCTCCTTAACGCGGCTTCCCAGCTACCAGAAGTGGAAACAGAAACAGAAAATCGATGATCGTGACTCAGAAGACGAAGGAACATCCCACCAGCGAGGCCCAGAGCGAAGAGGTGGGAAGCGGGGCAGAGGCCAAGGTAATGGTCCTCAAAGCAGTTTGGCAAGTGGTCCATTTGATCATCCAGGGACTTGGTTCTCTTTGGTCGGGCTGAGCCCTTCAGCGGTGCCAGGCTGCCGTGGGATTTGAACGGGCTCTGTCCGCTCCCCTCAGCGTCTCTCCTCTCTGGCTTCCGTTTCTCCCTCTCTGTCTGTCTCTGTCTCTGGTTTTCTTGGAAGCATCCTCTCTGTCACTCCCTAGGCTCTCTCTCTCTCTCTCTGGGTCTCCATTCCTCTCTTTCCCTCTCTGACTCTGCATCCCTGTCCCTGCTCCTCTCTCTGCCTTTCTCCTCATTCTGTCTCTGTCTCCTTTTCTTCCCATCTCTCAGACTTTGTTTCCATCTGTCCCCCTCGTCATTTCATTCTTTGTCTCCTTTCTTCCCGTGTCTTGGCCTTTCTGTCTCCTTTCTGTCTTCATCTGTCTCCCTCATCATTTCTCTTCCCCCCTCTACACATGCATCTCCCAGTCTTTGTTCTCTCCTCCCCAGTCTCTCTGTGTCTCTCTTTTCCCTCTTGGTGTCTCTGTCTCTGTCTCCATCTCTCTGTGCCTCTGCGGACGTGCCCCTGCCTCCCCTGGGCCTCGCACCCCTCACGACTCAGCTCCCCAGAGAGGATGGCCTGTGGGCTCCAGGAAGGAGCAGCCGTTCTCCCTCTGTGCTTTGTCCTCCTTGGAGGTGATGGGTCCCTGTCAGGCGCCCTGGCCCCCGTGGAGACAACTGGGGCTGCCTTAATGATCATCTGTATGGGAGCTCTGAAAAGGTCACTCTTGCGGGAGGGGAGGAGCCAGGCAGGGAGAGGGAACGTGGTAGAGGAGGGGGGACCCAGGACTTAGTGGGGAGCCGGGGAGGTAGGGGTAAGTGCCCTCCCAGAGATCTGGGAGAGCAGGCTGGGCTGGGGCCACTGACGTCTGTTGCCGCCGCTTTGCCGTGTGACCTTGGGCACATCCCTTCCCCTCTCTGGCCTTCTCTGACCTCTCTCCTGCCCAAGGAAGTTAAGCTAACAGCCTAGGGCGTGCAGTCCGTGGAGACAGGGGTTGGAGTCTTTCTCAGTCAGGGCTGGGTCCCCAGTGCCCGGCGTAGAGCACATGCTCAATAAATCTCCATCGGATGGTCTGTAACCGTGATAGTGCCCTTAGGAGGCCCTTACTCTGGGCTGGCTCTTGTTCTGAGCACGGTACACACCTCCTCACCTCCTCCTCATTGGGACCCGTGAGGTAGGTGCTGTTATCTCTGATTCAGAGTGGGGAACGGAGGTGCAGAGACGTTAAGTGACTTGCTCAAAGTCCGAGAGGTTATGGCTGGGATTTGAACCCCGGCAGTGTGGGCTTGAGGGTCCGTGCTGTTGACCACGACAGCAGACTACAGAAGCTTTATTGAGTACCTACGATGAGCCAGACCCTGGGGCCACAGCAGTGAACCCAGAACGGGAGCGGGGTGGTGGTGGGTGGGGGCGGCCTGGAGGCTTCTGGGAAGAGGAGGCCCTAGGAGTGGACTGGAAGGCTGAGCTCCCTGAATCCCTGTCCTGGCAGGTGCGTCCCAGCCCCGCACTCCAGGCGCCCCTGCAGGCCGCGTGCGCTCAGAGCTCAAGACCAAGCAGCAGATTCTGAAGCAACGGCGCCGAGCGCAGAAGTTGCGCTTCCTGCAGCGAGGGGGCCTGAAGCAGCTCTCCGCCCGCAACCGGCGCCGAGCCCAGGAGCTGCAGCGGGGCGCCTTCGGCCGGGGCGCCCGCGCCAAGAAGGGCAAGATGAGGAAGAGGATGTAAGGCACGTGACCCAGCCCCCTGGCTCCTCACGCGGTGCAGGGGTGGACGTCAGCAGATGTCCCCGAGTGCCACTGCGTGCCTGGCCCTGTGCCGGCCGCTGGCGGAGCTCTCTGCAGAAGAGGGGTGCTGCCTGGCCACACAGGGTCTTCAGGGGTGCGCGGGGCGGTTGCCGGCAAGGTCGGGACGGCCAAAACCCGGGGTGGCCACTCAGCTGCTGCTGCTTCCATGTGTTCTGGGCGGTTCCTGAGTTCAGAGCTGGTGGCCACTCGGGGCCGAGCCCTCAGTGCCTAAGGCCCAGTGATGTATTTTTAATGTAATAAACCTTTACTGCGCACTTCGAGTGGACAGGGAGCGCCGTCTACCCAAGGAGCCGGGAGGGGCGGGCCCAGGTATTAAAGCCCCAGCTGGTGTGCCCACTGAGTCCAGAGAGTGGGGGCTGGGGAGGGAGGTGGGAAGTGGGGTGTGGGGCAGAGGGCTCAACGGCTCCTCCTCTGGCAGTGAAGGGGTTCACGCGGCCCCACCACATCCCCACCACACCCGCAGAGGTGAGAACCTGGTCCTGGCCTCTGCCCTGCAAGCCGTGTCCTCCCCAGCCCCAGTTTGGGGTCCTGGGAAGGTCAAGGGCAGCCTCCAGCAGTTGGATTCTCAGGCCACGGATCACCTGTGCTGCTCCACAGTGGAGGAGGCCTTGTGAGCAGGCGCCCCACGTGCGGCTGCTTGCTGTGTGGCCCTCTTGTTGGTCCTATTTTACTTTACTTACCGAATTTGCCAGAATTTGCATCAGGCTTCATTCCAAACCCCTGACACACATCGGCTTATTTAATGCCATGAGTGCCCTGAGAGGGAGGACCTGGTCCCAGGCCATGTGGTGGATGAGGGATTGGTGCCCCCCCCCCACGTGGCCCACATTTATTTAGTACTTGCTGAATGCCCCTCCTGTACTCCCCACAGCAGTCTGAGCAGGCACAGCCCTCCCATCTCTCAGGTGAGGACCACTCAGCACACACCCCGCAGGACATACGCACCTCCTTTCCGGGGGGAGCCCCTGCCCCCCTGCTCACCTGGGTCAGCGCTGGGAGGCAGGTGTGGGCTCGGCCTGACGAAGATTGGCCAGCATGGCGGAGAGGTCCAGGATGAACAGCTTCACCTGTGGGTCCCAGCACAGCCAGTCACGTCCCAGCCCCTGAGTGTCCAGTTCCGCCGTCCCCACAACCCAGGATGCTGCAGAGCAGGGGTTGGGGGTGAACACCCCTATTAAAAGCAATGATGGTGGTTCCCAGGGGCCAGCCAACCTGCCCTAGACTGTTCTGGGTCCTTTGGGCCTCAGTCCAAGCCCCCCGAATGGTCTGTGAGCAGACACCCTCAGTTTCCTAGCTGGTATCACCTGCATTATAATGAAATGAGTATTTTCACTTGCATTAATTCATTTCCCCCCCCCTTTTTTAATTGGATCAACCGTATTCATTGGTGTTTGACCTGCTCTCATCTCCATGGGTTAACACTCCCATATTTCCTTTTAATTAACTTATTTATTGATATGAACTGAATGCCCACAGGTCCACTGCCAAGAGCCAGAACTTGAGGCCAACTTACCCTTGGGCTCTCCCTTCACATTTGTCATGAAATAAACGTTTGAGAGGGAAACTATATTTCTAACAAAAATAGAATTAAGTTACCCCTTGTCATAAGTGGAGGGGCAGTGGAAAAAGCCTACAACAAACATGAAACCCAGTCGCACTCTTGCGTTCTGGCCCACTGCTGTTGCCTACAGGGGGTGTGAGGCCCAGGCCCAGGGAGCCCTGCAGGGGTTAAAGGCCCACTCGCCCCACACTGAGTCTTTCTCCTTGGTAGGATCAGGGTCGGTTGAAAAGGGACAGGCTTGGGGCGCCTGGGTGGCTCAGCCGTTAAGCGTCTGCCTTCCGCTCAGGTCATGATCCCAGGG